TTCCCCATACCATTGCTGGAAAGACAAATCCAGATGCCAGTTCTAAACTTTTGAACATGGTCAGACTTCAGCCTTACTTCACTGCTATAATGCTCCACACATCTTTTTTGCTGTTTACCGCTGCTAGCACAACTAAGTATTATTGAAAACAAAGGTTGTCTAAAAACATTATCACAGCTAACACAAGATTAAAACGCCTCTAATTCACAAACAACCCATTTTTCTCATATCACTGTGTCTTTGTCTAGTCTACCAGCAATTATACCAGACATGCAAGGTTAGCCCAAAACTCTAATCCTAATATTTTAAATACAACAGACTATCACATGGCATTTGTCTGTATGAATAAACCAGTTTTTTATCCTACCATTCCCTTCTTTTTAAGTAGCCAAAATCACAACAGTGAAGGCGAAAAAATTGGAGACAGTACAAAACTGAAAGGAACAGGCTTGTGAAATAAGTTTAGACTAAATTTTAGAAGTGGGAGTTTATCTTCTGACAACTTGCTAGAATCTGACTTTCAATCCTATTTTCATTTTACCATGTACAGTTTAAACAAAAAGTCACAGCACATCTACAGTATCTACTTGTTTCCACCATGAAAAAATTCTCAGTTATTACTAGCAAAAAAGGTTCAGAATATAATTTTGTAAGAGAAGACTACTCCTCAGAACATGAGTTAAAAAACCCAAGTGGACACAATTCAAGGGTACTTACAGACTGCTACTTCATGCTCTCTCAACCTTCTCCATCAGTTCCTGTCTCTGTCAGTTCTTAGCTACTGTCCTTCCCCTATACTACTATATTCCTCCATGTTAAGTTTCAGCAACCAGGAAGAAGGGGAAGTAGGTGATACTTTCCTTTTTGGAAAACTTAGAAAGTATGAGGACGTGTTTCTTAGCATCTTCTATCCATCCCAAAACACAACAATTAAAAACACACCACCAATTCCCTCATTTCTTAAGCACACTGCAACAGCCAAAGCCCTGACCTTGGGGGGAAGAAGGCCATCCCCACATATCTAAACATTACAAAACTCTCTTTACAGGGAGTTTTCTCTCCTAGTTCTAAGTGGGGCTGTCCATGCTTGGCAGCTGAAGCTTGGTTTTTGGCCAGTATCTATAGCACCATCAAGAAGGTAAAAAATTTCCCAAATGCTGTGTACCAAATAATGCATCCAGGAAGAAATGACTGGTTCTGTTCTCCTGTCAGACAGAAGAACACCTCAGCCATTGTGAAACATGCAATGCACATACACAGAATGAGTCACTCAATTGCTCAGACCCCATCTACTGCACAGCTTCCCATCCAGGAGAAACATCATCCATTAGACTGAAGTGGCACACACTTAAGCACACTTAAGTAGGAGAGATCCCCCTCAATATGCACCCAAAGTTCACCTAAGTTATTCCCTACACATGTGTGACATACATTCCTTATACCCTGTCTCCACATCCCTCCAAAGATTATTTTAATTACTCCACAGGAAAGATACATTATATATTTCATACATCCAATGGCTGAAAAAGGCTCAACCACACCAAGTATCAGTTATCAAGATTAACACATTGTAATGTAAAGAGAACACAAGAGAACAATTCAAAGTACAGTTATTAGATGCTGATGCTCAAAACTGTATAACCAGAGAGTAACTAAGGACCTGATGTAATACGAACAGAGCAACTCCAATGTACTTTTTTAAAAAAGAAAAAGCAAACACTTCATATAATATGATAATTTTTTGAAATGACGCACAAAGAAATCTATAAAATGTATAGGATTTTTCCAGGGAATTGACTTTTTTTAAAACTGATGAACTATATAAACATTACCATTACTGGAATCCTTACCTCTCCTTTATTTGTGCAAGTATACTTCGCACAAACTGCTTATGTACAATGCAAGTTCACAAATCAGCATCAGACAGAGAGCTAAAGCTCATTCCTTCTTGCATTATTTTGCAAAATGTAATGTAAGGGCTGAACTGTGTGCAGTGACATTTCCCTGCCTCCATGAATTCTAGGTAAGCAAAACAAGACATTACAGACCAAATCAAGTATGAGTTATTTCATTTGTATTTACAAGATGACTGGGTTGTGACGTTCTAATGGTTTCAGAAATTAAAGCATGCTGCTCCTCTGAAAGATTTGAGCTAGGAAGCGTGTTCCCACTGCATATATTGAGTTGCACAAATCCCCATATTTACTCTCTGTAAACCAAGTTCTCAAGTTGCATTCATCATTTTTCCCACCTCCATTTTAAGTTTTATGTTTTGTATTGGTTTCTGGTGACTCAACATGTAAATCAAATGAAGACTGAACCTCAAATGAACAAAAATGTTTTAATTTAAATCAAGTATACAATACAAATAAATGTTAATAGTTTCAAATGTATCCCTCATTTGTAGGTAACTCCAATTATAAAACTGCTAATAAAGCATTCTAAGAAAGCATTCCTTTTGCTTTATACTTGCCTTGACCACATGCAGTCCCCTAAGCTACAAAGCCCTCCTTTAATTCAAATACCCAGACTACAGTAATTAACTTCTCTTACTCTTTTACTAATGGATTTAAAAATATAAAAGGTGTGCTTTGCTGTTTAAGAGAACACCCAGCCAGATAACGGTTGATACAACTTTTAAATTTGTATTGACATGACGGATGATGATAAAATAAAGCAAATTTTCCAAAAAGAAGACTCACATATCACCATCCATTTCTCCAAGTATAACTGATTATATCACAAACATGTTTTGCAAGTGATTAGCATATACCCTCTAAATGATCAAGTAAAAAAAATATCCTGAATAAGGCAACATTTCACAGGTAAAGCCCTGCCCACATACAATGACTATCCAGTCACAATAAAAGCAGTGTTGGAAGAGCATTAGAACTGCTAATGCAATTCCTTGGATTCAAAACTTATTTCTTACACATTCCCACGGCACCCCATGAAAAAGAAAACTTCCAAGAGAAGGCCAGATGACTGATCCCAGTTGTTTATACACACTTGACAAGCAAAGCATTCCTCAACTTGAAAACATCAGTCCCTCAAGAGCAATGAATAGGAACCATAAGGACAAGTGTTTCACATGTCCTTCCACAAAACCTGAGTGAAGCTGGTATGACATCACTACACACACTGTATGCCTCAATTAGACAGAAATCCCATTTTCCCTTCTTAGCAGCATCTTGAGATAATTAAAGAAGCTCCAGAATAAAATCCAGTTTGTTCCTCCCAAATTTAACAGCTTTCTTCAGGAAATAATCATCCTTATTTATTTGCACTACTTCTATGCACAGACTGTTTTCTTTCAGAAACCAGACAGCAAGTCCATTCTTACAAGCAAAAAGCACAACTTTTTGATCCTTCTGAGCTTTTCCTTGTAGTTTTTAGTAACTGTCTCCAATACACCTGCCTTGCCTTCTTTCTTACATTCATAATGTAACTTCTACAATCAACAGAAGAAAGGAGTTACATCATCTGAAGCATCTTTATTTCACTGTCTGGGGAGTATCTTAAAATTTGGTTCCAAAATGGCACTACCCACTTAGGACATACCACTCAAATTCTCATAGATTGAAGTTGCTCACAGTAAAGAGTAAAAAGGATACTGAATCCATTTACTTCTCCTGAAGTGAGAAATGTTAGAATTTAAGATCCATGTAATACATGGTCTACCTGAAACTACTTCTGCACTAGAAAGAAGAAATATTACTAAGGGTAATAACTGATTTTATATTTTTTGCCCTGAAGCCGAGTACATGGAGCACAGTTTGCTGCTGAAAGACTCGGAACATCCTCAGGTATCCCTCCAAACTACTAAATACATAGCTAAGTTTTAATTAGTTAACACTTTGTCCTCCCAGGCATCAGAGAAATAATCATGTCAGTTCGTATTTCTATTGTGATTAGCTCCCACGGAAGTACCTTAATAAGTACACTTGCCTCACGATTCAGAGAGTGAGTCTAAGCTTGTCTCCAACACTGCATGAACATATGGAGCTGGATGGGTCCAGAACCCATGTAACTCACTTCTCACAGCTCTTCCTAGAAGCAAGCTTACCCAGAAACATTATACAGGTAGATCTAACAGAAGTGCTGTATCTATAGGCTGGCTGTGTTATATAAGAACTAGTCCAAATCCAGCAGGACCAGTACTGAATCTGAGCAACTGGGCCTTACTAGACAAAGCTGGGCTTAGCAAGCAGTTAACACTGATCAGCTTCAGGTGAAAAGGCAGGTACACAGCACAAGCTACAAAGTCCCTGAACAAATGTGAAGAGTAAACTGTATGCACTAGAAAACTTCTGCTTCTACCACTGAAATAGAATTGCTCTCACGCATTCATTAAAGTTCTCTTGTCCCATGTCCCTTTGCACAAACATTATTTCTCACTCTGCTACTACGGAGTACTGATCTAATTCCTGTGATAGATTTGAATAAAAAAAGCAAAATAAATACTAAATTAACAGCTATTTGGAAGCCCTCTCCTTGTTATAAAAGTATGCTAAACTCATAACTGAACTTGAGAAATAAAAGTTACAGCAAAGCAAACACCCACTTCTGTGTCTACATAACAAATTCTAGCTCCCATTTTTCTGTCCTCTTACAGACAGTCACTTCTTTTTTAACTTCAGTGGGAACTGGTTCGAGAAAACGAGGGGGAGGGACAGAGTAAGTATGACTTTTACAGGCCCCATGCAACAATGCGGGAGTGTTGTTTTGAAAAAAAAATATGGTAAATCAAGTTTTAAAGTAAGAAGCTGACAACACTACATTCATCTAGAGCCACTGTTTACAGTCAGTACCTAGAAAAGTCTTTTGTGTAGAGGCTCCAATTTACCTCTAGGGATTTTTGTTTAATAAAGCATACACGGCTGACTAGATATCAGCTCACAATGACCAGTTAAAATCTCCCAACATGCAATTACTGATGCTCAAAGTAGTTCATCTTGTATGAGCACTCTACCCCCTTATTTGTTAAGTGTACATCCTACCTTCACACCAACGGCAACATCAGTGACAATGCTGCAAAAAAAGAAAAAAACAAGAACACAAGTCAAGCAATTTATCCTCATAAACCCAACTTTTCAACGCATTGTAAAGACAAAATTGTGAGGAAACAAACAGGTAACAAGTTCCCTGAGAAAGAAACTATGTTCAAAAACATATTGGACTGAAATACAAAAGAAACTTTAAAAAGCCACTGAGCTCCCACAGTTTATAGGCCTTTCCAAAGAGTACAAAGTTTCAAGTAAATGTTACTCCAAAGCAGCACTGCCAGGAAATTTATTTAGAAAACTCGGGTTTCTGGACTACATGAGATTACAGGGTGGAAATACAGTAATTTAAAAGTAAGTACAAAACTTCTCACACACCTCGTAGCTGAACCTTTGTTTGACCTACTCTTTGAACAGCAGACAGAAAAAAAATTTTTTTTTAATTAGCTTGGAATTTGCTTTAATTGGCAGCTACACCTATATGAAATTTAATGAGGTACACCTATGAAAAACATTGCAACAGGTATGTCAAGGTACATCTTTTCCTTAGAGGTTGTGACATCACCACTCACAGTGTATACCACAATCCAAAAAGAAACCTCAGTCCACAAACACATACACACAAAAAAGAATATGGGAGAGCATTCCACAATGTAGTACTCATTAGTAGTTCTCGGACAGGATTTGTAACTCCTACCATATAACCACAACCATAAAAAGCCTTTGGAACTCTCACAGTTGAAAGGTTATATGCATAAAGCATACCAAAGAGATGGCTTTTCTGTTTGAAGCAGAGTAAACAAGCTAATAGGAGATTTAGAAGCAGAAAGCTGTTGTATTTACACTGACGAAGGCTACATCCAGCAACCCGCTTCCCAGGTGCAACAAAAAGCAGGCCTGGCATGTAGTGCCTGCCCATCCCAGCCCTCTCTGTCCCATACTGCCGACTGCTTCCAACCTTCCCTTCTTTGGTTTTTACAGCCAGTCCACTGTATATACAAAGGCATCTCTCCACCTGGAGGTGGGGGGGGGAAGCCGAAGGGCTTATTAGGCAGTTTCTGAAAACAAAAGAGCTCGACATCTGGCTCCTGCTGGCACAGCTCCTCCCCTCCAGCCAGCTCCAAAACAAACCCGAGCCCTGCAAGGCGCCCCTCCTCAGCCCCCGGCCAGAGGAGCGATGCCAAAGGCGGGGGGAAGGAGGGAGCGAGAGGCTCTGGGGGGCAAGATAATGGTAGATCGCGCCCCTTCTTTACGGCGTCTCGGGCACTACACTTAAGTAGGGGGCAGCCCAAGGCCCTCGGCGATTTGAACGGGGGACCCTACAGAGGGGCCCGCGTTAGGGAGAGGCTGAGCCCCGTCCTGCCCCGCTCCCAGCCTGTGCGGGGCCTCAGGCTTCAGCTGTCCCGCGGCGGGAAGCTCATCGCTACCCACACCCTCGGAGACGCCCGCCAACAGCCAGCGAGCGCCCGGCACCGGGACAGGTGCTACCGCGGACCGGCAGCACACGGCGCGGCAGTGCGCTCGCTCCCAGCGCCCCGGTGCCCACTCACCCGTCCATCGCCGAGCAGGACAGAGCGCGGGCAGCGGGACAGGAGCCGCGCACGGGGAGGCTGAGAGAAAATGGCGGCCTGGCCTGCACGGAAACCGCCGAGCGTTGCCGAGTGCCGGGCTCCGCTCCGCGTCCCCTTCCGCTACCGCGCAGGCGCCGGCAAAACGCGCATGCGCCGCGCGCGCCGCTGAAGTTTTTGCCCTCAGCTGCCCGGTCCGAGCCGGCCCTTGAGGCGGCGCGAGCCTGTCCCGCCTGGGGCGGGAGGCGGGAGCGGCGCTGCCTTCCCCTCCCCTCCCCTCCCGGCCCGGCCCGGCCCGGCCCCGCCGCGGCGTCCGGAGGGCGCGGGGAGCGGCCCCAGGACAGCCTCGAGGCTGCTGGGGGCGGCGGGGGATCCCCAGCCAGCGGCATTCCCTGCCGCCCTGCCCGGGCCGCGGCTGAGCCGCCGGACCCCACTTGTTGAAGGGAGAGTTCCCGGGCTTGGTCCCGGCCCTTCTCCTCAGGGAACACGTTCGGAGGGACCCGCGCCGGGCTCCTGCCTTGTCCCCATCGCTCGCTGCCCTCGGCTACGTTGTCACGTCCCACAAAACAACCTGTTGACTATATAACTGATCGCTAACACTACATAAAAATAATAAAGAGGAACGTACAAAGGAACTACTGCAGTGAATTGGGCTGTTTCTTCACAGAATAAGTGTCTCCGTGCATCTCTGTACACTGGCGGGTCAGTACAAAATACGTGGCTATTACGAAATATACGTTTTCTCCTCGTTATCTTGTGCCAGATCTCAGGATTTCATCACAAATCTTCAAATGTTTGATACATGTCTAGGTTTTCTAGAAAAGCTGTGCATGAGAAGACCCTGGATTGCATTCAAATAAAAAATCAAACTAAAGATTTTATACCTATGAAAGAAAATTTGAAATTGTGATCCAAATGTTCCTGTAAGATCCCAAACCCAGAAGAATGTTTCAAAGTATTCAAAATGTCTTCTATGATTTCTATATTTTCATCTAGCAAAAATATGTTTCGAGAAGGTAGCCCATTACTTGATTGCACTTTAATTTTTTCAGGTTAGTGTAAATTCCTTGGAGTCTGTCATCAAAACTATTGCAATGAAGCCTGCTAAAGAATTTAGGAACCAAAAACTATAAAACTATACATACATCTATAACTGGAAAATTTTCAGTATGCTTTAATACTCCAGTATCCTCCTCTAACCGACACCACGAATAACTCATAACCGGATTAACAATTAGCGTGTACAAATTCTCATTCTACTCTGCAACTTTTTGTCATTCTGTTCTGGAAAAGCCACTCTGATTCTCTGCAGAAGTTTACTGATAATGCTTCTCCTAAATGCCATAATCACTTGGATATCTGCAACTACTTCCTCTTCCAGAAATTGTCTTCAGCACCCATCACTGACCACTAGACTAAATTACTTATTATTCAGTTTCTTAGAAAATCCCTCTTAAATATTTGATTTGCTGAGATTGTATCTAAAGCTCATCATGCCACATGCTATGCTTTAAGGGTTTTGCCTTCTACATTGTTATGTTTTGTTTGTTGTTTTGGGGGGGGGGGGGGGTTTAAGTCCGTGGTTGTAGCGTTCTTTCCTGATTACATGTGATAAAGTACTATGATCATGATGAAAGTAACATTGAAGACATCAGAGATATAGGAGTGCATGTAACAATCTCCATAAATCCAGGGCTTATTTATATATTTACTCTCTCTAAGTATAATCCCTGTATATTCTGGCATACTTACTAGGCTTTGCACCATTGGAGGTTGAGTTTACAATTGGTTTCTCTTGTTTCCCACTGCCTTCAGTCCTGTTTGATGCCACATTGTACTGGGATTGTTTTTGTCTTTTTTCCCCCCTTATAAATCTAAATACATCTTATGCATTTTTGTACTGGTAGAAGTACTAATTCTTCCACTTCTTAGCAATTAGCAATTGATTTCCATCTCATTTCTCCAACTGCCTAATTTCCTTACCTTCTTTGCCTTTACAGTAGTGCCATCTTCAAACCTGTTTTTCTCTTCTGTAATATTTCTTTTTTTCTCCTTCTTTCATGACGCCTACCAAAATCTAAGTAAGTTCACTAATACTCATTCAGTTTATCCTGAGTTAGAAGCTCTTCCATGTAAAGCAGGCTGAGGAGTACCTGTTGAGTATAGCAGAAAAGACATTGGAACTGAATCTGCAAATCTGGTTGATATAACGGATATGACTTTATACAGCAAAACTCTGGTCCCCCACAAAGCATCAATAAAAGTGATAATCAATCAGGATTTTACCTAGAGCATTTAATTTTAAAAGAGATAAAATGGTACAAGTATAAAATGCCATGGCACCCTCTTGATCAGTTGTTCATGCAGTGTGATATTCCACTTTGCTGTAGCTTTGCCTTTTTATACTATTAGATCATTTTTAGTACACTTCTGAATGCCTTGTGAAATGTCTGCCGCATTTGGAACACTGTGATAGCATCATCTGTTTATCTGGTTGTCTGTTTTCTCTGTTGCTAGAGTGTGTTTTTGCTTTGTCTTTCTCATGTTTTAGAAAGTCAGAAAAAAAAAATCGTTCCCAAAAAACACCCTCTTGTCCTTAGGAGCTGTCAACTTTCTGCTGAAGTCCTGCATCAGATGTTTCAGAAGGCAGCTGAAATGTCCAATAAAAGACAACCATTACATAAAATATCTTCAGCAAAGCCCTCCACATTCAGTTGTTACATTACAAAGCACATGAGCTTATATACTCTATCCATTTTATTCTAACTAAAATTTAAGTGCAGATACTATTATCAGCTGTTCAAAAGTTCCATACCCTTAAAATCACAGTAATCTTACTGCTGCAGCAATATCTTGTTTTCCTAAATAATTTCCTTTGATCATTGATACACTTAGATGTTTCACTTTGATCGGTGGTTTCCTTTTTATTTCAAGAACAGCTAATAAATAACCATCTGTGTAGTTCAGTAGCAGTGGAGTAGTTAATGATGTTTGCTTCATGGAAGATTGTAGGAATTGGAAAGCACACAAAGATATTTTCTGCTGTACATTGTCCCAGACTGAGTCTCTGGAGTTGCTGGGGATAAAACAGCGTCTGCCCTTTCAGAGAGCAGCTTGTCCAAGGGTTTGCCTGAGCACTTTCGGACATCCGCAGCATTCTAGGGCAACAAGTCTTGCCCTAGAATTTAGGAAATTACTGTCTGAAAAATATTTTCTTTTGGTTGTGTCAAGCCCACTGCCTGATAATTTCCTTTGATGTCCACTAGTTCCCCTTTTTTTAAAGAAACAGATGGATCATTTTTTCTGTGTACCTATTCTTGCTGTTCTTGATTGCATATACCTCCATCATGCTGTGTCCAGTTATCTTTCAGGAGTTCTAATAAATTTCATGTTTTCTCCATTAGAAATCATTCCCAGTTTTCAATGATTTGTTTTGGTTTTTTTAATACCTTTCATAATCCTATTCTAGAAGGCCATAATAGTTTTCATTATTCAAGTTACACACTCAATGGCTTTATATAGGTGCATAATAAATGCTTTCTGGTTTTATATGATTTTTCTTTCTTATAACACCAATCTCATTTGCATGTTTGAATCCTACTGAGCCATGAGCTGGTGTTTTCACAGAACCCCCCACAACTCAAGCACTCTCTGCTGTGTGAAGGCCATTTATTTAGATTCCAGGATTTTGCACTTATATTTTGGCTTGTTTTCTCTCTCACATATTACTTCCATTTTTCAGCACAGAATTTAACTTGCCATTTTATCATTCAGTCACAGAGTATCATGAGAGCTTTCCACAATTCTTCACGGTCAGCTTTTGTTTTTATTACCATGAATAATTCGGCATCATCAGCAAACTTGGTTGCCTCGATAATCACTCTTTTTTCCAGATCATTTAAGAATATGCTGAACAACACAGGTCCCTGTGGTGCACTACCAATGACCTCCCTGTACTGTAACAAAATAGAACATTTTACTTGTCCTTAATTTATTTTATTAATCTAGTAATAATAACTAATAATTAACCATTTATTAATATATCAAAGAATGTACCTGTTAATCTTGTGTCAGCTTAATTTCTCTCAAGAGCTTTGGGCAGAGAATTTCAACAAATTATTTTTTTAAGAAAATGTTATCACGTTGTTTCAATCAGACTATGCTAAAACACATTGACTCCTTCAAAGAATATGATGGTTCTTGCTATTAGAGGCACTTACACAGTAAAAACTCTTCATTTGTCCTTATCTCCAAACAGCCCCATCTTTCAGTTTCTCCAAATTGTTAATGGTAGTGTCATTAAATGGTGTTGCTTAGAACAACAGATCCTCGGGATATTATGGGAAAGGTTGATCATTTGGTTTAGCAGTCTTTGTTATATTAAACCACATTATTCTATCTTAAGCCAGTCCTTATCATCTTCATAAATTCCCCAGATGCCTTTGAGCGAAGTCCCAACATTTATTAGTAGCTATTCATCTTTTTGTCTCCTGTAAACAATGTCCTTAATCAACATTTCTTCCCAGCAGTCTATGTTGATTTACTTTGTTTTCTTAAACTAAGTTTTGAAGCTATTGTCTAGCTTTTACAAGCACAGTGCCCTAAATAAATGTCTCTTTTTCAAGTTCAGGTCAGAACTTGTCTTGCTGGCCTGAATCCCACAGGCTGCTCTCCAACATTTTATTTCTAGCATCCTTGCTAGAAAGACAGCTTATCTTGGGCAGGCTGGGAATGTTACTGCTCTCTACTATTTCAGACACTGAAATATGTGGCATAGCTCATCCTGTACTTAACTGAACATTCGTTTGTGTCCAAAGGTCTGCTCATGACAACCAGATTATTATCTGTCTGCCCACTTTCTCTCTCTAGCTTCTAGGATATCCACCTGGAAATTTATTTTCCACAGCAAATTCACCTTTTTTCTATCACTCTGATTAAAAACATGTACATTTACTTTCTTCAGGACTGGAGATCAGTTTTACTTTTTTTTCTTTCATTCCATAGGGTTTCCTTGGTTTTGTCTTGGAGAGATGGTGGAGTAAAGATCATATTGTGGGTCATGTACAGCCATGGCTGCAGCTTTTATCTTGTCAAGGGCAAGAAGTGAAATGAATCTTTTTCTTTTT